TAAGGCAGTGTTAAGGCTGAGAGCAGGTCACTTAAGGGTATAAACATTTCAGAAATGTACTAGTCCCAAAATCAAGCACTGCAACCACAGAAAATTCAAACTTAAGGGTTACTCTTGAATGTGATATAATTTTGAGAGGTCAGATGCAAAATAATCTTAGTTCTATCTAATCACTTTATAATATTTTTAGTAAAGTGCTACCCATTTATTTACGTTTGAAACTATTTATTTGATTTCTATGTTGCCTTTCCCAACACAGACTCAGGACAGCTAACAGGAAGAGAACAAAATACCTTATAACAGTTAGTATTAAAATAGAATATAAAATACCAAATTAGAAGCTTCCAGAAGATATCCAGGCTTAGGATATGACAGACTTAAAGGGGAAAGAGTTCCTGAGTGGAAGAGCAAACTGCTGAGAATGTTTTTGCTAAGCAAACTTGGCATAATGATAATACTTGTGGAAAGTTGCTCTTGGCTGATCTTACTGGGGCTTAAGGGAGAAGGCAGTCCTTTAGGTTAGGGGTGCATCGATAAAGATTTTCTTGGCCGATACTGATAGCCAATTATTCACCAGGTATATCGCCCACTAACAATCCAATAAACAATTTACAGGAATGAAGCCGGGCAGCATGGAGAGCAGTGCCCTGCAGATAAGTCTGTGGAGGGGAAGGGACATGGAGGGGGCAGATCCAGGCCCCCACAGTGATGGAAGGAGTGGGGCAGGGCAGCGAATGGGACCCTGGGGCCAGGGTGAGGAGTGGAATGGAGCCATGGGTGTCTTGTCCAGGGGACTGGCATCCTGGCACTTAAAAATGGCGGAAGAGGCACTTAAACTAAAGCTCAAAGAATGAGATTTAGTTCAAGCACCATCACCACCATTTTTAAGTGCAGGACATTTTTAGGAGTGGAGCTGAGTGAGGCTAGGGTGGAGGCTTCCCTCTGTGGGCTCAGGGCTCTTTGCCTTGCTGCCTCTGCCCTGGGAGCTGCAAACTGCCTGCACTGAATCCCCTGTCTTGTCTGGATTCAGTTTCATTTGGTTAACCTGCATGCCATTCCCATGTATGGCAAATCACTGAACTAGTATAAAGAAAACCTTCATAACAGTGATTATAAATGCTGGTTGGTTAAATGCTACAAAATTAACCTAAGTAACCTAACCCTGATGTTTAGCCTTTGAGATGACATAACATTCATGACATAATATTCCTGTACTTGTGAGTCACATATTTCAGCTGACTTTGTGCATAAATTTCTACCTGGCACATATCACATGCCTCAGTCCTTCTGTCTAGTTAATATTCTTGGCTTCCTTTGGTGGGAACCCATCCTGTTATGAAAGTTTAAAGCAGAAGAATGTGTCATTGTTCACAGATAAAATAATGTGCACCAATACCTCTACGCACTTGGTTGGCATCTCAGCTGGCTTATCAAATAATAGAAAGCGGTACCATCCTGATGTTAGTGAATGATCACATATTAAATCCTGTATAGCTGATTGCTGAAGCTGTGATGAATCAAAATCAACACTTCGGTAAGGGCTCTGAAGGATCTGATGTCCGCCAGGATAACATTCAAGAACTGCGTAAATAAGAATATATAAGACATAATCTGCCTATCAAAGATCTGGATGTATAGGTTTAAAATCCTCTTAACTGGAAGGTGCTACAGAATTGTGAATCATTTTATTCTGCAGTTGGATCATGCCCCAGAACTCTGATTTCTTTAGTGCTATACTAAGTTACAATAAGAGATAGCAGGGTTTGCTTCTCTATAAGAACTTGTGCTAGCAAGGATAACTTGGGTTAATAAAAGCTTGTCCTCTCTCTATATATCTTATTTAGTCTCTAAATGTGCATATCTACCCTGCCTTTTGACTGATTTCAGACTAACACAGCTAGCTACCTCTTTCTGAGCACGGCTATTGCCACAGTTAATGTTTTTCATGTTATACTAGCTCTTTTCATGCCTGTGTAAACAAACATAATTTGAAAACCATAAGAGGATTTAGCTACAAAAGGGGAGGCATCCTTTGTAAAATACTGAACACGTATTTTTATTCCCAGCTTTAACCTTGTTCTTTTACTTTATAATCTGAAGTGATGCAAAATACTGCCAGAAAATCTTGCTTCAAATGGACTAAGGTGGGATGGGCAAAATACAGCCCATGGGCCAGATACAGCCTGCCAAAGGATTTTGTTTGGCCTGCAGCAAGCCCTTTAATCCCACCCAGCCCAGAAGCTGGGGGGAAGCCTAGGCCATGGCGCATCTAGCCAGTCCCATCACCCCTAGGTGCGTAGCAGGGCTGCAGTGGTGCGGCAGCCAGACTCACTTCCGGGCAACCCTGGCGGCAGTAGAAGTTCCTTTCATCTGCTGCTGCTGCCAGACCTGGCCCTTCTGCCTGGGCACCCCAGCCCATCTGCCCCACGGTCACTGTTGGTGTCAGGAAGGGCATGGACAAGGTGCATGGCTGGGCAGATGGGATAAAGCTGGGGACTGGTGGGGAATAGGGTCCGGGAGTGGGGTGTGACAGTGGGGCTGTGGCAGCGTGGGGCCAGAGCCTGGGGCAGAGCCACAGTGAGAGGATCTGCTCCCTGCATATCCCTGCTACAGGCTCCAGTTCCGCAGGTAGAGGCATGTGGGGAGTGGATTGTGGCTGTGCCCCAAACCCTGGCCCCACGCTGTCACCACCCTGCAATCTCAATCCCAGCCCTGACTCCGCCCATCCTTCCTGCTCCTACATGCCACTTCCCACCTGCCTGGCTGTGTGCCCTGCCTGTGCTGGTCCCAGATGGTCGCCACACAGGCCCCAGGATCATGGAGTGGTGATAGAATGGGGCCAGGGCCCAAGGCAGAGGCATGATCTGCTTTCTGCATGCTGCTGCCCATGGAACAGGCCTGTCGCAGGGGTGGGCAGGAAGTGGATCACGGCTCTGTCCCAGGCCCCAGCCCAAGTTGTCACAGCCCAGTGATCTCAGCCCCAGCCCTGTCCACTTTCCCACTCCTGGATGCCACTTCCTGCCCACTTCCAGCTCTGTCCCAGCTACCTGGCCAAGCATGGGACAGAGCCACTTAGGGAGTTTTAGTGATCTGCTGGGGGAGGGGTGTGCTGTCCCAATCCATGACAGTCTGTCAAAACCCTCTACGTGGCCCTCTCAACCCAATAATTGCCCACCCCTGGACTAAGGACTCTCCAAAGGTCCCTTGTTTATGAGCTATTACTTCAAAAGGAAAATAACTGAAAACAGAAATGATACATAAGAAGCAGAATTCCCCAACTCCAAAGGGAGACGGAGGCCTTATAAACATTGCACGTGCACACTGGCACAACCGATACCTTAACACAATTGAATTTGGAAGTGATTAAACATTTAACTATACATAATAATGAGTGCTTACCTGTCTGCATCACACACTTATTTGTAGTCCAACTATGGATACACAGTCAGTGATAACCCAGTCTCAACACTGTAGTTGCTAAATTCAATTAACTGTATATGAAGGAAATTTTAACTGTAGTTCCAATTTCTTAAAATCTAATCTATGAATGGCTCTTTCTTAGGAAAAAAGGCTAGCTCATGAAATTATCTTAGCTTTAAGAAAAAAACCCTTCCCCCAAGCTGTTTATTTAAAATGCTAAATTAATACTGGCTGTGATCTCTCTGAGGATGGAGTTTAGGAAAAATCTTTAGTAATAAGAGGATGGTGCTGTCATCAGGCATAATTAATCATTGCCTTTTGCAAAAATCTAACAATAGGCACCAGTTAGTGCTTATTGTGAAAGTGTTTTCTATTATATAGGCTTGGACATCTAATATTGATTTCTACTTTTGAGGAATAACAGAACACACTCCTCCATAAGTCAAGAAGCAGAACTATAAAGCAAATAGACTATGGCTGCCATGACATTGGAATATTAACAGCATAAACTAGAGGTGTACCAATACATCAGTCCCATATCGGATCGGCACTGATATAAGGAAAATTGACAGTATCAGCAGTCAGCTTATTTTGGCTGATGTGGCTGATAATGTTGCTGATAAATGCTGCATGCATGCATACAGCCGCAGTGCAGCACACAGAAGGCCAGGAGCATGGCCCAGCAGCCTGGAGAGCAGCTGAGTTCAGCTGGTAAGTCTGTTGTGAGGGAAGGGGCGTCGGGGCAGATCAAGGACCCAGTGGTGAGGGAGACAGTGGGGCTGGGGCTGGGGCTGGGGCTGGGGCTGGAGCTGGAGCAGGGGCAGGCACTGCATAGCCAGGGAGCAGCATGGAATGGAGCTGTAAGCAGCTCATCCAATGGGTGCAGGGGGAAGGGGCTCCCACTGCTGCATGCACCCCAGGAGGACATGGGGGGGCGTGTGCTCCCGGATCTGCATGTGGAGCAAGGGCGGGCTGCTGCTGCAAGCTGAAGCCAGGGTGGTGCCAAGCTCTTGCAGGTGGGGGGCTGGGCCAGGCTGCACTTGCCCCGGGCAGTGGTGCCATTGGAAGAGGGGCTATGGGGAGGGCTGCAACCACACCAAAATTCATCATAGCCCCCTGTGCGGGAGCAAAGGAACAAGAAGACCCCAGGGATAGTCGTGGCAGGACATCCGCTGCGCCGGACCCACCCCTGCCCCGAGAGACGGGGCAATCACTAACTGGTTGCAGGTGGGGTCGGAGAGAGGCCGGGTTAAAAGGGCCGGCGGCCCACGAAACGGCGGCGGCGGCGGAACCAGAAGTGCCCGAACAGCCAGCGGACACCGGCGAGACTGGAAGCAGGCGGAGGCGAGCCGCCCAACGCCGAACCCACACGTTCTGGGGTGTGGGTAAGACTCTGGTAGGGGACGGGGACGGAGCATCTGGCACCAGGAAACCCAGCCCGAGAGAGGCCCTCAGGAGCCAGACGAAGGAGTGGGGGCATCGCGGCTGGCGTGAGGAGGGAGCAGCTTATCCGGCCGGCGAGCAGGAAAACAACCTCACAAGGGTGAGGATTCCCCCCCCTCCCACTTCCCCAGAGGGAAGAGGGGAACTCCGCGGGAGAACAGGGGCTGTAGGGACCCAGCGGCCGGGACTCCCAGCTGCAATAGGGTCGGCTCATACCCTCGCAGACAATTGGGCGAGTGTGAACCCCTCGGGAAAAGGGGTATTGAACTGAGGACTATTCGGGGCCAGCAGGGACCCTGAAACCGGAGGCAAGGGCGAGGGTGTAGGGGTGGAGGAGCCCTCTGCATCCCCGGGGACTAACAGACACAAGGTGCCACTTTCGGACGTGCACACGCCAGATGGCAAAACTGAACCAGAGCATCATCAAAGACATGGCAGGCGAGTTTGGCAGGTGCAGCGCGGGAAGTGAGCACAAGGTCTAGCGGAAGGGGCCCTTTACGGACCAGACCAACCCAAAGGATGAAGGGTCCACTTTTCACACCCCCCTCCTAGAGGCACATGCCCCCATGCCCTCCTGGGGTGTATGTAGCAGCAGGAGCCATCTCCCGCTGCACCCCTTGAATGAGATGCTCACAGCTCTGTCCCACGCCCTGTCCCGGCTGTACTGTGCAGTGCCTGCCCCAGCCCCAGCAACACTCCCTCCCTCACCATAGGGCCTCAATCTGCCCCCCCACACCCTTACCTCCCCCCTTCCCCCACAACAGACTTACCATCTGGACGCTGCTCTCCAAGCTGCCCAGCCACACATTGGCAATCAGATCAGTATTGGCCGATATGGCTCATTAAAAATCAACCATCGGAATCAACCCAAAAAATCTCTATCAGTGCACCCTAACATAAACTTCAATTATTCCTTCATGTCTGAGAAAAGTAGTTCATACTGAATAAAGATATTTATTGGATGAAATAATTTATCTATTTCATTCACTTCGGAAATAGTAATAACATTTGTTTTACCATAGTTGCCATAATTGTATTTGTGAAACAGTCTTCAAAATCAGGAAATCCCCTCTTCCTAAAGAAGAAAATTACTTAGTGGAGCAACATACCTCATCTTTTTTAAAGAGATTATAAGGATCTTTCAAAGACTGGAGATTTAATCTGCTATGGTGTTAGGCAACCGAAGCAGGTAACAATTGCTTTATCTTCTATTGCCTAAATGCAGATGGCAATTAATGTGACTGACTATGGTGTGCTTTTTTGCATTGGCTGTAATAGCCTCTAGGGCTAGGCGGTTCATGTCCATACAGGTTGAGTATTTATCTCTTATTGGAATTTGTAGAAAACCTTCACACAAATCAAAGGTCAGTCATGTGTGTTATTGAAATTCTCTAAACGGGTTTCAGTGCAAGCCATTCATGAACCATCTTCTATTTTTATAGGGTTTCATCCTTTTATTGAATGTGGCAGCATCTTTTAAAACTCTCCTATAACCCATTAGTACCAGTTATGTTTTCAACAGCAATATTTTAGTCAAATTTACTTTATTCTCTTACTTCATTTTAGCAAAGTATCATTTATTGAACATATAACATTAATGACTTGTAAATTTTAGTACGTTGTCAGAGCAATTAAAAACCATATTTACTATTAAAAATCTACAAAACTAATATAAAGAGCAGACAGTATGAGATAATTTAGTTTCCAGTATTTTGCCTATAACTTGTGAATGTGACCTGGCCATTCATACATTTTTTGAAACCGTGAGTAGAATGTTGTAACTTCTGTTTGCTTTTTTTTTTCCTGGCCCACTCTGAAAAATGACTGCAATGGTAAAAATGATCAATAGTGTTAATTAAATGTTCCTGTTCTTGTAGTCTGGCTGGTTTCTTATAACAAATTCTTCTCCATGGAAACCAACACTTTTTGTTGTTAAATAGTGAATGCTAAGAAACTCTACAGAGAATATTTATGCTCTAGAGTCTACAATGTCACTCAACCTGAAGAGAGAGAGTGTTATTCTCACCTATGCAGCAAGCCAGAATGAAGTTTATGCATTAAAGGCTAGAGGCCATTGTATATTTGCATCACAACAATTTATTGACGGAATTTTTTTTTATAAAGCATCTTATTTCTGAGGAGAAGCGAGATATTTTGTCAAAAACTGTTGACTGAAATCTGAGAAATTTTAAGGTTTGGCTAGAAGTTCAGCTTTCCAATGAACCTGTGCAATTTCAGTAGAAATGTTTTTCAACACGATATAATGAAGCACTCAAGCTTTCAAAGTATGGCTTAAGTGGCACTACCATCATGCATAGTCTTCTGCTGCTCCTTTGCATAGCCAAATTTTTTTCTGCAAGACTTTCAAACTAAGGATGGGATTTTTCGAAGTTTAAACCTGCCTTTTAGGCAGACAGTCTTCTTGGAACCTGAGAACCCAGCTGGAGAGACAACCACTTAAGTGCCTCAGGTACTTACCAATTTATATTCTCTAGCTAAAGACAGGATTTGTCAAACAACTATACATAATAACTGTTTATTATTACAAGTGAAATCCTGAGCTTGAATGAATTCTTGTTGCACTTACTGAACTTAAAGACACATCAATATCCAAGACCAGATATTGGTACTACTTTAAATAGTAGTTACTCCTGTGAATCACCTTATATTATAGCCAAAAGACAGGAAAACATTTTCAGGCCCTCATTTACATTAAGGGCCCTTAATACTTTCAAGTCCAGGTCCCTTTGTGCTGGAAGGATGATGTAAAAAGGGATTAGTGTATATGCAAATCACACCTCCTATTTAAAAAATAAAGGGGCTTTTAACAGAAGAATGCATGTACATACTTTTGATTTGTCTTTCGGTATTTAGAAAAAATAACCACAAATAAATGTTTTTGGAAAAGCTACATCAATTAATTATGTGCTCTAACAGTTTTCATTCTTTAAACCAAAAGTGCACTCTGTATCTCTAACCCAAGAATGTACCCTACATATTTTATGTCTGAGGATTGAGGTATATAAACTAGAATGCTACAGCTCATTAGCCATGAAAACATTGTTTTACAAGAGAGCAGAAACAATACCTACAGTCCTAAAATTAGCTTAATTCATCAATGTTAGCAGTGAACTATGTAAAAAACAAAAAAAACCCTACATAAATTTCACTAATTCAATGGATGTTAGAACTCTTGAGACTTACCATGTTAATAACTCAAGTTTTTAAAGTTCCTAAATGCTTACATGAGAAACTTTAAGAAGTGTATAAATATGTAATGTTATAATACAGTGTAAAGGTGCAGCATACAATGCAGTCTTGCATCATCTGTTTATGAGGATTCCTCTCCCCCCCACCCAGAAATTAAAACAAAGACAAAAATTAACATTTAAGAACATTTTAAAACACAATCAGAACAAGCTTTAAATAGGGCTTTATGCCTTGGTTTTAGTGAAGGTCTCAAGCCAGGGACTGACAATATACAGCATGTGTGCTGCAGTTTATAAGGCAAGTTTAAGAGAATAATAAGAGGAGTTAAGAATTTTAAGCTTGATTTTGCTTTCAGATGATCACCGTCCTCGTTAGATGTTATTGGTGAAAGCAATGTAATAGTGAAAGGATGTAGGTTGTAGCTGTGTTGGTCTAAGGACACAGCCAGACGAGGTTCTTTGGGCAAATCTGATATTTTTATTAGACCAACTCAAATAATTGGAAAAAAAAACATTTTGCTTATTCATATAAAAAAATAGTTGTGTTCCAATCCAGTGGGACTTGTATCTAAGTATCAGGCTTGAAATCTAAATTTGTGCATGAACAAAGGGGAAATGTTGTTGATGCTTAGCAGGTTCTCACTGCTAAGGAGTGAGTGGCTCATTTTGGAGATTTGGGGGGGTGGTGTTTTTATGTATCCCAGGCCAAATTAGCCCAAACTAATTCCAAATCCAAGAGTCCAGAAGCATATGTCGCCCTACTACCGGCAAGCATCCTCCACCCCCATCTGGGGCTTCAGATGTTCCCAAAACATTTGGTGGGCTTCCTACTTGCAAGCCCAAGCCCAGAGGCTTGGGGTTTGGATGCCCAGGAGTTTTGCTTGCCCTCAGCGGTAAGGCCCCAGGGGCAAGCCAGGGAGAAGTCTCCCATTTCATAAGGTGGGCTTAAAGCCAAGACCTTCCCACTCCAGCAGCTAAGTGGGAGATTTACCATACATTACCTTGGCAGGTACTATCCCCATGCCAGGAGAACGGCATGCCCCGTGTGGCTACAAAGACCGCCTCCGTGGTCACGGTGCTTCCCTTGCCAGGCAATCATAGACTACGTCTGATCTGAGCCCTCATTTTGGAGATGGACCAGGCATTACTTTGACCCTCAGTCTAATTCAAAGCCTGCTGAAGTTAACGAGAAGGCTTGGATCTGGTCCTCAACAGACTGTGGCTGAGGGACCTGTGGGCATCCTCATTCTCATCTGGAAGCCCATCTCACCTCACCTCACCTCACCCTCGGCTTCCCAGCAGTCCCGCTCCTACATCCCAGCAGGCTGCGATGCTGAGGAGAGCTAAGCAGTAGGGCAGCACCATGGCAGAACAACTGAAGGAGAAGCAGCATCGCCTATAGGTCCCAAATGGGACCTGGAGTGGATCCCAGTATGGAAACGGAGACCTCTCCTTCCCTGCCAGAGGAGGGTCCCGATGCCTGCGCGCTGGTGGAGGTGACGGAGACCCCGCACAGCCCGCGCGAGTCCGGGCTCAGCCTGGGCACCGCTGCAGGCGGCTGGTCGGTGCTGCAGGGAGCCTGGGCAAGCTGAGCCCGTCCCCGCCCGCGCCCTTACCTGGCTGGCAGCGCGCGGCCCCAAGGCACAGCAGCACCGCGCAGAGCGGCACGGGCCAGTCCGCCCCCGCTCCCGGCCGCA